TATTAACTTTTATCAGTCATCTTTTCAGTCTTAGGTTTTAATCTGCGCCATTTAAAAGTACATTATTAACCAGTAACACAGCTTGTCTGTGTATTTATGGTTTGTGAGTGTTAGTGCACTGTGGTTTGACCAGCATCACATGTGCCTGATGAATCACTGAATACCGATATTTGAGAAAGTCATCAAAATTAAATTATGTTGTGTGCATGTGTGTTAAAATGATGATGCTTATTTCAGACCTTGGTAATGGTAAATGTATCATGGTAATAATAAATTAATGAATATTAAAAATACTCTCCAAAAACAAAAAAAAAGACACTTTAAAAACACTTTGCACAATCATTCCTGCTATCTCATTCCGATCTCTCACTGCATGCCTTTCTATGATAACAATTCATGTGCATTTGTGCATAACAGCATCAAAATGCACACACCATTCAAAAGTATGGGGTCAGTAAAATTTCCAAATGTTTTTGAAAGAAGTCTCTTATGCTCACCAAGGCTGCAATAATTTGATCAAAAGTACAGTAAAAAGGGTAATATAGTGTAATATTACTGCATTAAAAAAACATTTTTTTAAATAAATAAATAACATTAACATTTTTAAATAAATAAATAGCATTAACGTTAAATAACAGTATTTTAATATGTAATTTATTCCTGTGATGGCAAAGCTGAATTTTCTACAGCCATTACTCCAGTCTTCAATGTCATATGATCCTTCAGAAATCATTTTAATATGATGATTTGGTGATAATCCCCCTACCCCAAGATTCTGTAATGAATAGAAAGTTCAAAAGAACAGTATTTATTTGAAATATTTATAACAATGTAAAACTCTTTACTGTCACTTTAGCACAATGTAATGCATCCTTGCTGAATAAAAGCATTAATTCCTCTAAAAATAAAACCTTACCCACCCAAAAAACTTTGAACAAACTTTGAACCACGGAGTATTTTCCAAAGACCAAAGAAATGTCGTGGTCTTTTTAGAAAGGTTTTCATTAAGCATTTCTAGAGAGATACAGTTCTGTGATTATGTGCAAATATTAATGTATGTTTTTGAAAGACTTTGCTGTAAACAGATCCGTTAAATCAACAACCATCAGCTGACTGGGTGTCAGTGAGCAGGACTCAACAGTGGCCTGGATAAACTCCAAAGTCATTCCAGTTCAGAAGACATGTCTTCTTGGCAAACACCCTTGTCTCTCACTCCTGCACAGTGCCTCACATCTCTGTGATTGGCACCCTTAAGTGGGCTGAAACGCTATATCTACGGGGTATGAATATTTCTATTCCCGCTCTTGATTAAAGCATTGTAAAGACTTGTACTTTACCAAATAACCTCTCTTGCACTGCATAACCTTTTGCCAACAAGTCTATTAAGTGGGAATAAATAGCTTAGATTCAAAGTGTGCAAAGAAAATATTTTCCTTAATAGTTTTTAGAATAAAATGTGAACATGACAATGCATTTAATTGTGATTTGTTTTTCAGGTCTAATCTTCAGACCCTACTGTGTACTCTTATTTTACAAGCACTCAAATCAGATGTGTTTGTTCAGTCAGTGCTATATCTGGTTTATGCATTTGTTGCTATAGCAATGAAGTAGGCGTTAATGCAGTGCCAAGTGACTTTCTTCTAAAACAACTGAAAGCGACAAGCGGAAAATGGAAATTTTGCCTCATGTTCCTCATGAGGTGCATGGGAAAACGTGCCTGGTGATGATCTGGAATAGCTTTGTAAACATTAAAAATGTCATGTGTCTTTTGTGGTGTTCAGGCTAAATAAATTAAACTGACTTGTGTTAATTGTGCCTAAAAATCAGATTCCAGCTATTAGTGAACAAAGCCTATGTTTTGTGATTAATATAGCAAATGGAAGTCACATGAGTGATGTGGGCGTGCCCAGCGATGCAACAAAGTTAAGAAAAGTTTAACTTATTTCTTGTCAAAATACAATGGCATTCTATTTCAAATTGCAATATATCTCATTTGTGATCAGACTGTTGACAAGCTATGACCAGTTAACGACCAACTAACAGTACAGTGACCTTGTGACCTCCAGCGGTATGTGTGAACAAGGTATTTGAGACAGTTTCATATCAGTTTGAACAATGAACTCTTGACTGTGTGACCTGCTTTCTGTTTGTTCTTGAGCTCTGTTTCTATATCTAGTGTCAATGAGATTGCACTAAGAATAAAATAGAATAATGTTTGAAATCTATGATTGAAACATAAAAAGAAAGATATGAATGTCTAGACATACGTTTCTCAGTTAATGTTTCTTCATATATCTACCTGAGACATGAGAGATCTGTTTGTGTGTGTGTGTGTGTGTGTGTGTGTGTGTGTGTGTGTGTGTGAGTGAGAAGGCACGTGCAGGTGTTTGCAGCTCTGAAGGTAAATTTGCAGTTAACAGTGATGTATGATCAGTGTTGGGGAGTAGCTAGCTACATGTAGCGACGCTACTAGCGTAACTACATTTTTCAGTAGCTTTACAGTAGCGACGCTACTTTTAAAACAGTGTAGCTTTTCCTGTAGCTAGCTACTTTTTCCAGCAAGTAGAGGTGTAGCGCGACCAAACGCTACATTCCGTTTTGCGTTCTGACGAGTCGCGAGCCTGTAATGCACTGAAGCAGCGCAGCGTCTTCTTCTGACGAGATCACAAACTAAATTTGTTCATTACCGCCATCTGTTGTATTGCAAAGGGTATACAGGAGTGGATAATTCACATGAATCAACTGTAATTTACACAAAACAAAGATTAAAATGCGGTCTACGTCAAAGACTTAAAGCACATACAAGAGGTGAATAATAGCCTTTTTAAACTGATACATTTTTCTTCTTTGTTGTACTCCAGATCAAATGTCTATTTTACAATGATGAACGGTCATAATATAATCTGTCCCCCCACAGTTTTGTAATGAACAATAATCGAACAGAAAATAAAATCACGATATAGTAATGTGTGCTTATCATTTGGCAAAGGATGGTTGCGGCGGGGATTCACGCAAAGCGCAGTGTTCACGCGTTCAGCTGATGACTGACGTCTCTATTCACAGTCAGTAAATACCGCATGTGCTGTGTGAGTTTAACTTGCTTATTTTATGACTCCTCCATATCCAGTTTAAGTTGCATACATTTTGTTCTTGCATTGATGTTACGTTTGTAGCAATATACTAATATAACTGTTTAACTATACAGTATTTTATTATTGTGTGTATTGAATAGTTTACAAAATCAAATGTTTGGGACACTTTTCCAAGCCATTTCAATGACAAAAAGTGTCCCAAACATTTGATTTTGTAAACTATTCGATACACACAATAATAAAATACTGTATAGTTAAATAGTTATTTTAGTTATATTAGTATATTGCT